TGGTTTGCATGACAGGAAATTTATAAATTTGTGTCCATGAGGATGCATGAGGGCAAGCTTGAAAGACATCCTTGAATTTTTCTGTATTAGGTAAGTGTTTATAAATTTGAGTTTAGTTATTTATAGGTTACAGTTCATGCAATGTACTTCTTTCTTCTTGAGTTTTGAACAGACTCTCACATGATCTTAATTTCTTCAGCAGCAGGAAAGATCATTCCTTTTCATCATCAGCTACTTGGACGCAGCACATTTATTATAGTTAATTGAGTGATTTGGTATACCACTGATGGAGAATATTAGGATGGTGACTCATGATGAAACAACAGCCTATGCTTTGAACAGTCATCTGCACTTGGACTAGTGTACAGTGGTAGACTTGGACTCCAATATTGTCAGCATTGTGAAAACACATGGGTATGTATTAAAATTCTGGCCTACAATATTGTGCTATAGAATTGCTGTAATTATTGATATGTTGTGTCAACTTGAGAAGTATAGAAGTTTTACTAAACCACTCAGTAGGGAGCTGGAGTCCTTAGTTTGTAAGCATCCTCAACATGAGCAAAAAGAGGGCTTGGACATTGTGTGAATGTTATACTTGCCATAGGAAAGGCTGGCCTGCTTACCATATAAGGGAGGAAATGAAGTTTGAATCCCCCAATCCACTTTGTGCTCTTGTTACTTTTGCTGTCTCCTGCCACCTTGAGCTCTTTCCTCTGTGCCATTACATCCTGCATTAGAGCCAACTGATTATGGACTGGAATCACCACAAACTCTGAGCTAAACCTTTCCTTTTTTAAATTTTGCACATCACGTATTTTGCCCTAGCAATGAGAGACAGTACAGTATTAAATAATTGTGCATAAAGCTTTTCAATGTGTTATATGATGACTTAGAGACTGCAGTATCTGGCATCTCCTTATATACTTCCTGGATTTACCATAGCTTAAACCTTTCCCTGTTGGCATCTTGGCAGAGCCAATGGCAATGGCTTATACAGAAAGGCACATGAAGAATAAATGATGAGTCTTCAGTTTAAGCAGGGTCACTGCTTGTTGTCTTCACAACATCTTATATGCATTTTCCCCAGCAATGGGAAAGGAGCCTTTTCCAGTTCTCTCACTCAAATAAATTCTGCAGACATCTGATTTTTGGCAACCTAGATCATTTAAGAAAATTTCACAGACATTGTGGAGTATGTTTACAGGTCTACAGAGTCTGTATGCAATTAAAGACTTGAAGAATATGCATCTATTTTTTCAAAACAAGGTGTCACTACAATGCTCAGACTGACTGGAACTTGTGATCCTCATGCCCCAGCATTCTAAACAGCTGAGTTTACAGGTGTGTGGTACTGCATTCACCATGCTATTTTGAATTCACAGTGCCTACCCTCTGCTAGTAGTGAGTTATATTATCTACTTCTAGGCTTTGACAAAATCTCTAAATAGAAAATTAAATTCCATTGCTCATTTTTCATTTGCCTATCTTCCTTAATCTTGTGCCTATTATTTTTATGTGTGAATATTCCAAAATATTTGCTCATATCATCCGTTCATTTAGTGAAGATTTCTATTTTTGATAAAACTGATTTTTTGGCATTCCAGGCATCCCATCCTTACTCCAGGACACTTTTCCAATTGAAGCAAATTTTAATCATTACAGTGTTTGTTATGCATATATATATATATAATCACTTTACCTTTTGTAGATTTGCGATCTTATATTTGAAATTTTTCTCAATTCTAGATTAGAAAGTTGTTTCCCCCCATACATTTTGTATAGCTGGAAGATTTGTATTTCATATTTTGTCCTGAATCTGCCTGCACTGAACATTTCCTTGTGTGTTCAGTAGAAATGAGATATATTTGACCTAAAAATAAGTAGTTCTTTTTTTCCCATAATGAAATAATTTTTTCTTTGCATTTGCACTGGCACTTATCAAGGTTTGGTTTTGAATACAGCAGAAGTTTTTCTCAATTCTTCTTCGAAGTTTAATGTATGTGCCTGTTACTCCAGGTTACAATTTAAATAACTAATTTTTAATGTGATCCAGGAATTAGAGGAAATGTCTCCTTTTCCTCTGTTTATTACTAAGAATTTTGGAGAATTTTTGTCCAATTTTCAATAGATTCACTGATATTATAAATCTAATTATACTGAAAATATAACTTTTTATCTTAAACTGGGTAAAACAGAACACAATAAGACAGAACAAAGCAGATCAGATGAAAACAATGCAAGTGACCCAGGATTTCAAAGCAAGACAACAGGAGATCAACAGTGGCTACAATAATCACTCTTGTTTTCTTCAGAAGAGTTGTCTATATCTTCACACACAATGAATTCAAACAAAAACTGATCAAAACAGAGTAATGAAAGCATTACAGGCCTTCAAAACCAGACAATAGGAAAATCAACAATGGCTAGCATAATGTCTTGTTCTGTTCAAAATAGCTGTGCATACTGAAGATATAAACTGAAGAATTCATATTATTTCATATATCATCACATTCAAAGGTAATTACTCATTCTGTAATTACGTCTAGAATTCTACTTACTAGAATTATTATGCATTTGAATGTTTGGCAAATATTTTTTCTATTCCTGAATATTATGTAGAACAATCTACAAAGGATATAGGGAAACCTAATGGTGTCTGACTATATGTCCCAAAACCCAAAAAGAAGTACAAAAAATGAAAGACTGGAATAACTAAAAATATTGGAACTTGAATTGAAATTGGGTTACATAAAATTGGAATTACAGAACGGCATGCTAGAAGAAAGCTGGTCACCTCATGATAAATGGGAAGCAGTGACAAGCACAGGGTTATGAATGGTACCCACTGTGGTAGCACATACATTCAGTGCCCTCCTTCATATATGTATGATATAGTAGAAGGCATCAGTCACTCAATTAAGTGATCAAAGTAATTGATGCATTGGAAGTTTATTTAGGAGAGACACCTAACTGAATTTTACTAGGTTTTCATGTATTTGCTTATGTACTTAGTTACTTAGCTACAGGAATGAACTACCTGAGATACAGAATTTAAGAAAAATAGGTTCATTTTGTCTCCTTGTTTCAGGCTGCAGTTTGCTCTTGTCTGTTTCCAATGTAGAAACATCTTGGCAAATAGAAATTTGTAAAAAATCGGTAACTACTTTATCAGGAGCCAAAGTATAGGAGGAGCCAAAGAGAAAGGATCCAGGGACCAGATTTACTGGGTCAGATAAAACTCACATTAACTCACAAGACACACCTAGAATTGTGCTCTTTTAATATCGTATGCATCTCTTAAGCTATATCATTTAACAGAAATATCACATGGCTCCAGGCAATATGTTCCTTCTAGGAATATTAATGTCCTGAAAGAGGCAAAATTTCAATTTATGAGGAGAGAATTACAGGGCACGAGAAAATTACAGTCGGATGTTCTTATGTTTTTCCTGCTCAGCACAAGGACAAGGTTCAGATGATGAGCAGTGGGGCTGTACTTCTGACCCTCACGTTTCCAATATGCTTATTTTCAAAAATGGGTGGGGTGGGTTTTGACCCTGGATGAGCAGCAATCTTTTGTGGAAAGGTTGAAATGTTTGCTTTTTTTTTTTTTTTTTTTTCCATTTTTGCTCTTTTGTAGAATACTGCTATGATTTAATACTAATGTTTTGTTTTCCTTTTAGGGGACAGATATTCATTTTCTTAGCTGAATATTAATAGATGGAAAGAGATAGTGTGAAAATTTTGAGAATGAAGCCAGTTATGTCATTCCCAAATAATGACCTCTCAAAGAAGCAGTTGTCCCTCTACTGTATCATGTCCTGGGCTCAGATTGCTGTATTGTATCAAGTCCTATGTCCGATTGCTTTCTGACGTAAGGAGATTGAGTCTTTAATAGACTATTGGCCCGGGGCTGGGGATTTAGCTCAGCGGCATAAGCACCTGCCTGGCAAGCAGGCAGTCGTGAGTTCAATCCCTGGTACCGATAAAAAGGAAAAAGACAAAAGAAAAAAAAAAAAAAAAGACTATTGGGCCTGGAACTGTTTCAGGTAGCTGATTTAGTTAGAAAAGTTATAGGCAAAAAAAGAAAGAAAGAAAGAAATATAGGGAGTCAGACAGAGCTGAGTCCTCGAAGGAGCCAGAGCATAAGTTCAGATATCTTGCAGCCTTGAAAGAGACAATCACCTCCCACTGTGGGCCAGATTTCAAGAAAAAGGAAATGCAGTACAACCAAATCACAAGGGCCAACGTCCAGCTACTTCTCTATTGCCCTGAGGAAGTCAGGAGTTAGTATCCCATCCCCTACACGAAGAGACATTGCTGTTAATCATGCCCGCTTATTACGTTACTGGTTCCATTTTTTCCTATTTAATCAGTTTTATGTGAGCAATTAATCTTACTTGTTGACCACAGTTTTGTCAAACCTTATGCCTACTTTGCAGTTTCCCATTTCGCCCAACCTTGGACCCATTTAAATTGATGATTTTACTCTTATAAAGTCCCTAGAAAAGACAGTCTTTGGCAACCCTCTCAGGACCCCTTCTCTATCTCTGAGACAGAAGCTTTCATTCTCACATTAAATATATTGTTTAGGAACACTCTGTTGTTCCTAAACTTAATTTTAGAGAACACAAACTCATACTTAACATACAGTAGGTTTGGAGTTTCATTCCCCTTTATCAGAACCTTCTGAACACAACTGTGACCCATGCTCAAGAAAAGTCTCCACTGAGTCCTATAAGAAAATAGCGTCAAAACTGAGACCTCAGGGTAAAGCGTTTAAACGCAAGTGTTATTAGGCAGGCAAGATGAGATTAACATTTTATAATAGAACCTGGTCCAGAAGTCTCTGCATTACAGTCTTGCACCTGAGCTCTATCCACTCTTGCAGGAAAAGATTTGTTTTACTTTTCCCGCTTGGCCTTGAGGGAGGAAGTCAAACAATTAAAAAGGAGAAAACCTTGTAAAACCATCCAATCACAGGTGACAAAGGGGGAGGCTCTTCCGGTGTCATGGCGCCAAAGTGTTTGCTGCTAGCCGGTTGCGGTGAGGACTTTAACGGAATGGGCTGTTTTCTGTGACTTCTAAAAGCTACAGCCTGTATAGGAAAGACCGTAGGAGACCCTCAAGCTGAGCAATGGTAACGTTGTGGGACGGGAGCTCTGAAATGGGGCAGAATCTGAAAGAGATCCCGTTAGAATTGGTCAGAACTAACTGTGGTGGTTTGGGGCCTGGGATATAGCTCAGAGGCACATCGCATGCCTGAAAAGCAGGACGTCATTAAAAAAAAAAAAAGCACGACATCGTGAATTCCAACCCCGGTACCAAAGAGAAAAAAACTAACTTTGGTGCCTGGGGTTCCCCTACGTTAGCTCCAGATTCTGATGTAGTGTCAGATGGGTATTGAGTCATTCTCTGTCCATTTTTCCCTTTACTGATAGAACGGAAAGAATCTCACAACTTCCTAGATGTCTGAGAACTGCAACTTTTGTAGGGATTTAAGAACAGCAAAACCACGAGGTGAGATGGGGGTAAAATGGGAACTCGCAATGCAGTGAGGCATGAGGTGGGACACGATTACGGTCAATCAATAAGATATGAGTTAATTGCTCGGGAAAAATTGATTAAATTGGAATCCAACAGGGAAGGCAGCAACGAATAACTGGGCCTTTACAGCAGGGAGTTGGGTTAGTGGCTTCTTTTGTCCAACCCAAGGTGATGGATATCTATTGAGAATATCAATCCCTGGTGTTCATACTTAGGGTGTGGCTCTGTTTTGTCTTTTGTCTTGAGACCTGGTCCTCAGCTGGAAGTGTTTGTTACCTCCATAGTTGGAAGGTACATGGTGTTCTGCGCTGGCTCCTTTGAGGGCGTAGCCCTCTCTAAATGCCTATAAATATTTCTACTTAACTCAGCTGCCTATAACATTGCTAGAGCAAGAACTGTTCTGAATTCTCAAGACATTTTGCCCACTGTGACACCGCCAGCATGAGTCACCTCTTGAGAAACCCACTGCTACATTTGCATCTGCAGCATTCTGGGAAGAGAAAGGATCTTGGGGAGATCCAGGCGCAGAGTCAAACTGGAGATGGATGCTGTGGTGGTGAGCTAGGTCTCTGGTTTGATTCCTGTCAGCAGCACAGCTAGAGAATCTGAAGGTTATAAATATCTGTGATGCAGGGTCTCATACCCACAACTCCTCATCAAACTTTTGCTTCTTAGTCTTTGTAGAGATCTTCTAAATTTCCATAACCTTCCTACATTTCCAAACTCATGTTAGGTATTAAAAATTTCCTGATAATTGAAAAATGTGTGGTGATGTTCCTCACTGGAGGAGCACCTGCCAAACACCCAGTGAACTCCTGAGTTTTGTACAGAGCAATGAAAAGAAACTAAAATTGTAATTATTTAGCTGACACTTTCACTCAGAATTAGACGGTTTGAGTTTGGCCATGGAGTTAGAACACTGAGGAAAATACAGCAGATGTCAAAGACTTAGCAAAGGACGGGGAAGATGTACCTGAGAGAGATAACTCCCAAAAGGGGCTGCCTATTATACCTACATTGAGAGACACCTTGAATTGGGGCATTTACATGGACATATATGTGTAGGAGTGGAAAGGAGCCAGGACATCATTTCTGTATTAAGGGCTATAGTTCTTGGCCTAATTGTTACATTTTTAAAATACTTTCAAAGGAGCACTGGAGTAGGGGGGAAGCCTGAAGTAGAAGTAGTACAGCCTATCAATGGTATCAATGGATAGGTATGAAGGGTTGTTTGTTTAGCCAATAGTAGTGTCTACAATGTAGAAGATTTGGGAAACTCAGATTGTCCTTAGGGTAAACATGAAGGCAGACTTCTGTGCTTGCTTGTTCTGTGATGTGGGCCAAAGGTCACAGACTTGAAGAAAGGAAGGGAATTTAATAATAGGTAACTGTGCCTTCTGCTTCCACTGATCAGCTGATGAAATCATTTTTGAGGCAAAATCTGAAATGAGGAAACTGGATTTGGTTTAGATTTAAAATTAATGTGTTCATTATAACAGATGTAGAATGATGGGGATCCCCAGTGTATCAAAGATTTCCAGATGTTCTTGATGATTAACTTATTAATTTATTTTTTTGAGACAGGTCTCACTTTGGAGTGCAGGGTGGCTTCGAATTCATGGTAATCTTGCCTCAGCCTCGTTGAAGCTGTAATTATAGGTGTGCACCACCATGCTCAGCATGCTTGGTTGTTTTTTTGTTGGTGTAGGGACTGAAATCTGGGATTTTGCTCTGAGCTAAGTTTAAATTTTCTAAAAATTTTTGAGATTTCATCTTACTAAGTTGCCCTAAGTGATGTGAATTTTTGATAGTGATTGTAACTCATGTAATGTAGGGATAATACACATGTGTGTCTATACCAATTTAAGTTTGGGATGTCTTTATACACTGCGATGTACCAAGATTTCAATGCTTGGATAAAGTATCAGTGATGTGTGGCAGTTCACACCTTTACTCTCAGCCACTTGAGGACTCTGACAGGAAGTGACGCAGAACTGGCCTCAAGAATTGGGTATGACCCTCTTTAAATACAAAATATGAATTATGGGATTTATCACAATAGACAGTAACTTGTTTAACATCCCCTGGGCCTGGGAAAAATCTTCTGAAAAATACAGAAAAATCATTTGGTGGAAACCTTAGTTTTCAATTTTATTGTTTTAGTTCACTAGTGATGGTACAATATTCGCTCATGATGGAGGACAGCAATGATGAGTCACTGCTCTTCAGCAATAGGACACTGATGCTGAACAACTAATGATTGCAGTGGGCTCTATTTAGTGAAGTTCATGAGGTTTTAGTATTTTAATATGGAATTTGGATTATGTTATATATATTTCCCCAAACACAGATTAAGGAAATGTATTGAGCACTTTGAAAGGATCCAAGGTATAGAAGTAATGTTTGCTCCATTAGGTACATTCTGTGCACCTTCAACATATGTCATTTTCCACTTCCTTTGCATTGATCATGATATTCTTTCTATCTCCAGTAGTGTCATTAGATTCATACCTTTACATCCTGTTAAAGTCCTTTATAGAACACAATGCTCAACTTACTGTTTCTCTTTTGAGTGCTGTAGTAATTGGGTTCTCCAAAACACCTGAATCAGGAGAATAACATGAGAAGTATTTGGAAAAAGGAACACTGTGAGTTTGGGGGATTTTTCCTTGCTTTGAGTTGTTTTCATGATCAGGATCCTTATGAGATGCCCCACTCTGTTCACACTGTCTAGCTTACATGACCCTAAGAAGGGGATAGGTTAGAGAGCAGTGTGAACACTAGCCACCAACCATATGCCTGGCTGAAGATAAAGCACTTCCATTTGAGATTCTAATTTATGCTGGTTTTGGAAACCTTTCTAACTCTTTTTCTTTGGGTAAACTGTCTTGCCATGCCAGTTTGCCTGCTCATGGAGCCCACTTTCATTTCTATAACATTAATGGGTTGCAGGCATGTCTGTCCAGTACTGTAACTTCCATTAGTCTTTTGCCTTTACAGAGATATGCAGCTCTCTCAGAAAGGAAGTGACTTTAATCCTTTGTTACATGTCCCATAAGTCAATAGAGACTGCATTCTCTGAAAGTCCCCTGCCTACTCTCTGTGGGTATACTACAGATAGCCATGGGAATGGCCTATGACATAGCTGAGATACACTACTGATTTTAGTTTAATCCACAGTTTAGTCTGTCTGTAGCTTCCAGTGGGTGTCATCATAAAGCATGAAACAGCAGAGGCTGTTCTAGCTTTTCACACTAGTGACATCTGAAATATATCACACAGGTGATAAGGACAAGGAGAGGGTGTCCAAGGATAAGCAGAGACTACTTTGGACAGACTGAGCCTAGGTTTGAGGTGCAGAGGTAAAAATTTGGCAATTCTTGGGGTCTTAACCCATTCTTGTAGCCACTCATTCAGGAGCTGTGTCCACTGTGTCTGCTGTCAGTCATCTCAGCAATGCTAATTCTGCACATGAGAAAACCTATAAATATGTCTCAACTTTGTTTCTGGTAATCATGACATAGATCATGAGAAACATTTAGAAGCATCTTGGGGGTAGAGGGTAAGGATGTTGAACAATGTCACAGAATAAACGGGACAAATCTTTTTAGATGGAAATCTTGGGCCTAAATATCACTAGTGCTGGGGCTGGGGATTTAGCTCAGCGGCTTAAGCGCCTGCCTTGTAAGCAGGCACTCGTGAGTTTGATCCCTGGTACCGATAAAAAGGAAAAAAACAAACAAACAAACAAAAAATCACTAATGCTGTGCTTGATGATCCTGCTGCAGAAGAATTTTCTTTCCATATTGTACCTCTTAACATCATGATTAGATTATACCCAATGGCTTCCTGTACATTTTATATGCTGGCTGCAGACCCTAGATAGAAATAAGCACTCTACATGTGTTCTACCACTGAGTTACACCCCAGCCTCATGTATGGATATTTTAGTTCTCAAATGGGAATATTTTAGATTGTTCATCCTTATTTTTACTCTTTCAGTATTCTTTGGGTAGATTTCTTTGTACTGCTTTGTGTAGGTGTAATTCCTGACAGGGACCCCACTGTTTGTCTCCATAGCATTCTACTTGCCTTTGCACAGTTATGGGAGAGCAGGCTTGTCCAGTGCTATCACTGTTATAATTACTACAGAGAACATGCTCTGCCTTCCCTGGAAGCAAGATTTGAGAACATGCCTTGAAGGCTCAGGAGCATCCTTGCTGGTGCATACAGACTGTATTGTTTAAAATCTTACAATGCAGACTGTATTGTTTAAAATCTTACTAGTGAGCTTTAGTTTCTGATCACCATCAACACTGGAACTTTTGTAACTGGAGAAGTTTCATGGATTCATAATGAAATTTAATTGCTTCCTTATAGTTTTTCTCTATTTTATGCCTCCAGTTTTAGGCATTCATTTTTGCAATTTCTTCTGCAAATTACTTTTTAATACATACTTAGCTTTCTCTGTATATTTCATGGTGCTGACCTTGAGAGCTATTTACGGTTTCTATATTGATTTAGTTTTAATGAGCAATAAATTCATGACAAACACTATTTTCCAGTTAATCTTGTCTTTGGCAACATATGTGTCTGTATCATTTTTCTCAATTTTTACATCTTGCTTTTTTATCAGTTATGCACAGAAATTTATCACTTTCATTTTCTTTCTCTTCACTTTTCATTTTTCTTTTTGATATGACATATTAATTTTTCTTTTATCTTAGAACACAAAGATGGTATCATCTGTGCTTTGATAAACTGAAAAACTGAACAAACAGCTTAATTATAATACAGTCACATTTTTGTTGTATGTGGTACTTAGGTTGAGCTTAGGGATTATGCAGGCTAGGGAACCATGCTACCACTCAGATACATGCAAAGATTAGAAACCATTTTCCAGTATACACTTATATTTTGCTAGGTAATGTTCTATCCTGGCCTTGAAACTCTCTCTGCCCATATGTACTGGG